TGGTTAAAGGGAAATCAGAGCTGTAGTCATTTTAAGTAATCTTTTTTTTTTTTACATTGTCTATTAATTGTAGCTGTATTCATGGTTTATTTTGGTTTCATGAAAATGTATGTTTTAACTCCGTGTATTGTGAATGTAAGTCCAACAAGTGACAATGATTGGAAACTAGCAATACCTATAAACTTATGTGCAGTACATCAATTTTATGTTTTATACTTGGACGATGTTAATCTGTACTGTCCCTTTTAAATAAAGAATTATTATTATGAATTGGGTCATCATACATGAAATAAAAACTCTTTAGATGTCACTTTTCTGTCCTCTGTATAAAATCCTTATTTATGTGCTCACACAGACACTCTTCACATATTGTAAAGAAAACTCCATTTAAAATTTCTGCGTGTCACAAAAACAACAAATGTCTGAGTTCATCTCTGCATCCGCTGGCCTCTCCCACTCGAACAAGCCAACAAATTTCATGCACTAAGACCTAGCACACAGCGGCAGATATTTGAGTCATCCTTGCTGACAGCTTACACATACACATATACAGACGGGTTAGAAATTAAAGGAATAAGCTGAACTTTTGACCTCTACGTTGAAGAAACGGTGACTGTGTTATGCTGCAGGCAGCTGTTGCTGCTGTTGTTTGATTTCACTCGCCCCAGAAATCTGTTCAGTGAGATCACCTTTATCTTATGATGAAAGATTTCTATGGTAACGGGAGTGGTCTCTACCAGGATGACGCTACCACCATCAACAGGGCATGAGTGACTATGATGATGAGTATGATGATATGAATCACATCTAGGCCGGGGTGCTTTTTATAAACATATGTGCACAGAACAAGCCAGGAATTAGATTTTCAGTCCCTTTCTGGTATTTGTTGTACAAGTTGTGTTGACTGTCATGATTTTTTGGATTTTCTTTTTTTTTTTTGGTTACCCCTGTAATTGGTGATGTCTTATCATTTGGAGATTTAAAAAAGTCTAGTCTCTCTGGAGCTTTCTGGGGAAAATTATCTTATTTGTACTGATTTGCAACAGATGCTTTGGCTCTTTATGCCTTTAAAGCATGAAGCCTGAAATAATTACCAGAAAATTCAAACATTTGGAAAAGTTGGAGTATATAGTGAAACTCACAATGAAATAAAAAAAAAACCAAGAGGGCGGTAGTCTTTACTGATCATATAGAAGTCTCAAAAACTCACCATAACTCACATATCAAATATGATACGCTTGGCTTTAAAAGGTTAAGTTGCATTTTCCATTTACATGCAAAGAAGTCTATTAAACTTGTTGCAAGATTACAACTTCGACATTAGAAGACCACCTCTGTTTACCTGTTTTGCTTGACATCAAGTTGACATACCAATCTCAATGGTTGAATTTCATTTTGGGACTCATTTAACCAATTCCCATAAATCTAGCCCTTATAATGCAATTTCATTGATCTAATAATGATGAACTCAGTGTTGGCACTAGTGTAGAATGACTGGATAGTGCAACAGAAGGGAATAAACCTCTCCAGGGAAACATCTTGGGAACTTTTTACCTCTTTCTACCACACTCTCACTCTGCCATTTCTCTTGCTATCAGGCTTCAAATATGTGAGCTTGTGGCATGTAAACATTGATCACTATCTAAAGATGAAAATCCACAAAACCACCAGGGATTAAAAGGAATATTACCAAGGGCAGTCTCCATTAAGTTAACTTTTATCATTCAGATCACCAGATGGGTAACGCTAACATTATTAACGTGACGAAACAATCCAAAGAGGGATTTTCAGGTGAAATGGCTCATAATGTCTGTGGCACAACCTTTTAACACCGGAAGGAGCATCTGGATGAGTAAAACTTACAATGGAGAAAGAACAGAGCAAGCAATGAAAATGGCAGAAAACATTCGGAAATAGTTTCAAAAATCAAAATCACATAAATCCCTCCTGTGGGAAGCATTAAGATTGGAAAGCCTTGATACCACACATCTCCATTTCAGGATATGTATTGGCTTTCTATTTTTTCTACAAGGGGCCAAACCTGGTTCTATCATACTTTTAAAATTAATTTTAAACCTCCAGCAGAACCAGGCTCAGGGAGGGGCAACCATCTGCCTCAACTCCTTGGTACTGACTGGAAGGAGAAGAAAGCAGAGAGACACAGGACAAAAGAGTCACTATGGGAGCAAGAACCAGAGTATAATAACTGCTAATGATTTAGCAAGGATAAAGTTTGCCAACTGCAACCTTCAAGAAAAAGAAAGTTTTAAACCTAGTGTCAAGAGTAGAGACAGTGACAGTCTCTCAAATTCAAACTGGGAGACGGTTCTTTATTAGAGATGGCTGAATGCTTGATCTCCAGTTCTCCACTATTCAAAACCACAACATGCAGTCTGAGAGTAAAGTGCTCTGTTAGTATAATGGGCTGATATAAGGTCTTTAAGATATGGCAGAGCCTGATTATTCAATACCTTATATGTGAGGAGAAGGATTTTAAATTCAATTCTGAATTTAACACAAAGTCAATCAAGAGAAGCCAATTTTAGAGAAAGGTCTCCTTTTTCAATCTCATTTTGCTCTCTTGCTGAAATATTCTGGATCAACTGAAGGCTGTTCTGCGACTTTAGCAATATTAAGCAAATGAATGAACGCAGTCCTACATATTTGCTTAATGTGAACACTGAAGGACAAATCCTGTTAAAGATGACTCCAAGTTGATGTTACCCAGTAAGTAACTATCTGCTTAGACACCATGTTTCTCAGACTTTTAGAACTGAGTGCCAAAACCTCAGTTTTGTCTAAATTTAGAAGTAGGAACTTTGAGGTCATCCAGACCTTGATGTCTTGAAGACATACCTATATTTTAAGAACATAATTTGTATCATCTACATTCATCAATAAATCGAACTGGGTATTATCTGCATAGCAAGATAATAGGGTTAATGGAATTGAAATTGAAAGAGTGTACGAAAATAAATTTCTTGGAGTGATAATTGATGATAAGCTGAGTTGGAAGTCTCATATAAACCATGTGAAAACAAAAATGTCAAAAACCATTGCTATTCTCTATAAAACAAAGCATGTCCTGAACAAAAAATCATTATACACACTCTATTGTACTCTGTTGCTTCCATATATGACTTACTGTCTGGAGATATGGGGTAATGCATATAAAACGAACACTCTTCCTATTTTCAAGTTGCAAAAAAGAGCTATAAGAATTATAAACCAATCAAACTATATAGAACCAACTAACATTTTGTTTATTAATCTGAATACCCTGAAATTTTATGATTTAGTTGAATATAAAATGGCACAGATAATGTATAAAGCACAAAATAACTTGCTTTGCCCCAGTACTCAGAAGCTGTTCAAAGTCAGAGAGAGTCAATATGACTTAAGGGGAACAGATTTCTTTAAAAAAAACAAGATAAGGACAAATATAAAGCAGAGATGTGTTTCTGTTAGAGGAGTTAACCTGTGGAATAGTTATGACAGTGATTTAAAAAGGTGTAGTTCATTTTCCTTGTTTAAAAATATGTTTAAAAATAGAGTATTAGAAAAATATATATATCAAGAATGAAAAGAGCAAAGAAAAACAAAAACAAAAAACAAAAAAACCTCTTGATTCTTTTGCTTTGATGTAGTTACTTACTAAGGTGGAAAGTTTTTTGTTTTTTTGTTTTTTTCTTGTTTGTTTGTTTGTTTGTTTTGTTTTTGCTTTGTTTTATTATTTGCTTCGAGCCCTGTGTACAGGAGCTGCATGCTAAAAGATCTTTTGTTAAAAGGGTTGGCGTAATAAGCAAATGCTTCAGCCAATACCTTTTGATTAGCCTTGTCTCATGCTTTCTTGCTTTGTGGTAGATCTTTGTTCTGTCTTCACTGAGATATTTGAATGCTAATCAATAAAAATCAATCGATGAAAGCAATGAAAATGAATTCAGTGCTTCCTAATAATATTGTAAATAAGCACCTAATGAAGGTTAGGAAAGGGTAATCATCTTCTTAGGGCTCTAAAAAATGGACTTATCTCTGTGCTTGTATAAATTGCAATTGCATAAATTGTATAAATGCACAATTCTTGAAGACTTGTCATCCTGAGGAATCCTTAACATGAAGCTGTCTGTTCTGTTATCACTAAAAGTTGTAAAATGTTGTATCACTAAAATATCATTCTCAGTCAGTTGTTATTTATTATGTGTTTACAGCGCCCTCTGTGGCTGCTCCAACTAATGCGCTTTAGAAACGGCTTTATTTTGGAAAAAACCTTATTGAACAGGAAGTCCGCTCAGTCAAGCAAAGCAAGTGAGCAAGAATAAGGGAAACATATTGGCACACAGTTTATGGTGTCCTGTTGGAAGAAATACTGTCCATATCTTCTGTTTATGGTTGTATTGCCGGTATGTACTTAAAGTATAAGTTGCAACTTTGTTTTTTGTACAATATGTTGCCCGCTAATGCAGTATTTGGCTGTAAAGCTAGTCCTTTTGTTAAGCTAGTTACCTGTGATTTTTGAGGTCGTCTGGGATAGCATCAGTAGTAGTTTAAAAAGTTTACATAATTAGACATATGCTATGTAGTAGCAGGGTGGTATATAAATGCATATTATGCTGCACATATGTATGTCATGACTGTATTTTTTGTCTTGTTTTTAGTTTTACCCTTTTGAATGTCAGTAAACCTGTTGACAACGTTCATCGGTCTTCAGAGTGGTGATATAAGAAAGGTGTTAACGCCCCTGCATCAGACATGCACCCATAACGGCACACTGTCCTTGTTTTAACAATACCACAAACCTAACTTTACCATAAACTCAACCAAATCCAAACTTTTAACCTTACTCTTATCTTTAAATCTTAAATTTGAGTGATTTATGTCATGGGCTCATGTTCCCAAACAGATTAAGTTCCCTGCAATCTTAAGAAGACATGCACTCGGAGACAAAAACACACAAACACCAACAAAAAGCTGCTGCCGTGTGTCTGTATGTATAAACTTACCAACAGCCAAATTAGCAATGAAGAAGTTGGTGACAGTGCGGAGCGTCTTGAAGCGGTAGATGACATAGATGACAAGAGAATTACCCAGAACTCCCAGCACAATAATGGTACTGTAGGCCAGGATCAACACCACCTGTAAAACAAAACAAACATCTCTCAGAGGTAAATTGTTGCAGCAGAAGAAACTAATTTAGAAAAAACAGAGGTGATGTGAAGTGGAACTTCTGTATCCCTCAACTGAAGAATGAATCGAGATTATATGATACTCTTATTTTAGATATTTTTATGTTTTATTTCCTACTTTTACCAAATTTATTTAATTATAATGTGTTTTGTTTACACAGAAAGCAAAACAGTGTGTTATAATATAAAAACCAAACTGAAACATAAGACACATTTGGGGCGTCTGAACCTACAGTCACTTGTCAACTGGCTGTATTGTAGACTGATGTAAGGGTAAATGGGAATAATGGGAAAAATTGCAATCACTTTAGGCTACGTCCACACGTACACGGGTATTTTTGAAAACGGAGATTTTCTGTTTTTGTTTTTAAAACAAATTCCACGTAAAAGCCAAAAATGAAGGAAGACGCTGCTAAGAACATTCAGTTCAACCAGGAAGGAGCATAGCAGCAAATAGGACCATCGTTTGTACCGCAACAACCTGCCTCCGCTCAAAAACTGTGCTGTCAATGATTCCTGGAAAGACACGCAATATGTGAGGACCACTAGAAGCTCTAAAATGTCTCCTAAAAGGACAAGGAAGAAATGCAGTTGCTGCTAGGCCTTCTTTACCAGCATGTTGGTGTTGTGGGCCCAGGTGAGATTGACAGAGATCCTCCAGCAGCCACTAGGCCCAGGATCCTCCTGCTCCCACTAGGCCCAGGATCCTCCAACAGCCACTAGGCCCAGGATCCTCCTGCAGCCACTGGGCCCAGGATCCTTCAACAGCCACTGGGCCCAGGATCCTCCAACAACCAATAGGCCCAGG